CTTAAAGAAAAAGAAAATCAAAATAGCAACACAATCATGTCTAGTTCTAAAACATGTCTAGAAAAACAAAATAATAAGAAAAACAAAACAACAACATTCTATATAGAACAAAACAACATATCTTTTGCAAAACCTAATACAACTGATATAAACAAAAACAAAGAGGTTACAAGTAAATTATAGTTAAGCTTATTTGCAAAAGTCAAAAGAGAGCAATCAACTTTTTTTTCATTTTTACCAAAAAAAAATATAAGATCCAAAAATGATAATGCACTTATATTAGATATTCATAACTTTAATAGTTTATTAAATAAAATTATAATTTTTCTTTATGAGACAGCAGGACATAACATAATTGCTGCTAAGCCACATATAAATAGGAGATCTCATACTTATTTGGAACTAATCTTTACCAATGAGAAAAAGCTCAAATATTATGTTACAAAAGGTGTTGAAATTTATAATCATACATACTATAGACATATTCTAGCTAACTCTAGAAAATTCTTTTTGCCAGTCAGGATCAAAAATATTCCTTTAGATAATAAGAAGTTTATTTCAGAAAGAATTAAAATGCTTTCAAGAACTTTGATAAAATTGTCTCAATTAAATTACTGTTAATAAAAGGCACATCTTATCTAACTAACTAGTAGATTATTACTTTTAAGACTACAAAAGACTCAGATTTAGAAAAAAGAATTTACTAGGTTTATATTTTGCTTAACAACAAGATTACTACAGAATGGTGTATAGCTTCTAAGCTTTGCTACTTCTGTGACAACAAAGGACATATTAAAAAAGACTGCAGTTAGTACAAGAAATCTATTGAACTTCATTGTCAATATAAAGAATTTCTCTTTAACAAAAGAAAAGAAAAACTTTCATCAGTAGATATAGAAAATATAAATGCAATTCAGCAAAAACAAAACAATATTTTGAAAGAGCTAAATATTGAAGTGTCTCAACAGAAAGAAACCTCTCTAAATATAGTGATTAGCCAAGAAAATAATGAAATAAACAGTACTATACTAGCAGAAAAAATCTCAATTGTTCAGTTAATGAAGTTATGAATAGTGTCAATAATAAAGCTTCTATTATAGAAAATCTAGCTACAGGTTCTTTAATGAAAATTGGAAAACCAAAAGCTCTAAGCACTCCAGTTGTGCTAATTACAAATAACAACAAGCTACAACTCCAACCAGAAAACCCAAATGATAAATTCATTTTAATTTTACAAAGGAAAAAAAAAGAACAAAAAAAGTAAAAAAGACCTTACAAATCAAAAAATTAAAACAATTAGGTCTGCTTTATACAAAAAATCTTATAACAGAGTACAAAATCTACAAATCTGAAATCTGTACTACTCTATATTAATATGACTGGACAATTTAAATTTAAAATTGCAAGCCTTAATGTAAAAGGCTAAACAATTAACAAAAACAATAAAACACTTTAACTCTTTTAAAATCTTACAAACTAGACCTTATTATATTACAGAAAACAAACTTAAATGATAAGAATACACAAAGCTTTCTTAAAAATTAGTAGATTTTTGATTCTATCTGGTCAAACAAGACAGCTATACTTGCAAACAACAAAGATATAATATTTAAAAACACAAAAATGAATTTAGACAACAGAATTATTACTACTAATTTCAAATTTAAAAACCTTACATTCCAAATATCCAACATATATGCACTTTCTAATCCAAATGATAGAAAACTTTTTTTTGAGAAATAATCATCACAAATCAACAAAAATGCTATCAACATAATTGGAGGTAACTTCATACTAATTTATATCTTGAAAAAGATAGAACTAGTAAAGTAGCTCCTCAATGAGATCCAACTAGAACACAACTTTTAAGCCCTACTAGAAATTTTACAGACACTTCAGATTTTGTTAAAACAAGACCTTTTTACACATTTTTTCAAAAAACACAAGGCAATCGAACAATAGCTATACACTTAGACTATATTTTCATTGATGAAAATAATGCTTATTTTATCTTATAAATTGATACTAGGTTTGGCAACTCAGACCACCATCTGGTAGAATGCACTCTTTTTTTTAAAGCCAAAAGAAGAGAGTCAGCTTTTTGAAGATTTAATAAAAGCTGCTTTCTGAATAAAAAACTGAAAAAAAAAGTGCCAGAAAAAATTACAAACTTGAAGAAGCTAATGACTGGAACTTCTGTAAAGTCTGTATTCAATCTATTATAAGAGCATTTAGAAAACCAAAAGCTACTGAAAACAAAATTATAAAGCTAAATAAAAATATAACTCAGCTGAAAGAATGACTAACTTACAACTTAGAAAATTCTTTTTTATACAATCAAATAGATAGACTAAGCCTAAACCTTCAAGATAAACTATCACATTTTACAGAAAAATGGCAAGTATATTCAAAAGCTCAATAGATTGAGCAGGAAGAAAAATTTACAAAGTACTTTTTTACTAGATATAAAATTAAAAAAGGGTACTCATCTTTAAAGAACATCAAGAATTCTAAAGCCTTATCAAAATCATGTAAAAATACTTTTTAATATATTAGAGATATATATGCCAAAATTTATAAGAAAGAAGATATAAATATTAATTCAACTAAAAAGATTACAAAAAATCTGCCTCAAGCCTCATTAGCTTATAACTTAACACTTATTTAAGAAATTACTCAAGAGAAGATTAGCAATATTATTAAAAACTTTCTAACCAACAAAACTTCAGGCACTAATTGTCTAATATATGAGTTTTACAAACTTATTGAAGAAACCATAACTCCTATCTTATACAAAGTATTTAATCAAGCACTAAACTCAGAAATTATGCCAACCTCTTGGTGCAAAAGCCTGATCTCTCTAATATCTAAAAAATCAACAAATATAGAAAATATAAATAACTGAAGACCCATATCTTTAGTAAACAGTGACACAAAAATTTTCATAAAGATTATAGCTAATTACCTAAATTCTATTTGCAAAGAACTTATACCATATCAGCAGTATAAATTTATTCAAAATAGGTTTATTACAGATGCAGTACTAAATATCTTTACAACTATAAAAAACTAATTAGATTCATTTAAACAACACTGGCTGCTTTTTGTTAACCAGCAAAAAGCTTTCAACTGAGTTAATCATAACTTTTTAAAACTGACTTTAGAAAATATAAACTTTGATCCTAAATTTATTAATCTGGTTTATAATCTTTTTTTTTGCCAAGAAGCCTATATTATTAAGATAGGCAATATCTCTAAACTATTTAGAATTAAAAGAAGAGTTAAACAAGGTGATCCTCTTTCACTACTGCTATATGTATTAGCTTTCGAGCCTTTTATAAAAACTCTGAAAAAACAAATACAAGAATTTAAATTAAAAAACCAATATTTTAAAACCTTAGCATATGCTAATAACTTAACTATAGAAATTGAATCTCCTTCTAACTGAAATAAGCTACAAGCTTCAATAAGCTTATATGAGGCTACTTCTAATAAAAAAATTAATAAAACAAAAACAAAACTAGTTCTATTTATCTTTACTGTATAAAGAGTAGAGCTCTGTAATAAGGATTAGTTTATTAAGTTAGAGGAATAAGACACTATTACTATTTTAGAATATGATGTTCTTATAAATAGTTAACCAAAAAAAGACCTTTGGACTACAACTATTAATAAGCTGAAAGAATCACTCAACAAACTTTTAAATAAAAATTTTTCTTTTAAAAGAAAAATTCTTATTGCAAATTCACTTATTCTTTTCAAAATTTGGTATTCAGCCTACTGCTTTTTTCTAACAGAAAGCAAGTAGCAGAAATAAATAGAATTATTTCTTTTTGGATCAAAGATTCTTTATAAATGCTTTCCAAATATTCTACTTTTCAACAGCCTGTAGACCTGGCAGGACTTTAAGCTCTAATTATTAAAGATATGTTAAATGTGTATTTAATTTCTGTTTGACTAAAACTTCTTATCTCAAACTCAATATAGGCAGTATATAAAAGAAGCAAAATAAGTATAATGCTTAAAGAAAAAAGAAATATCTTTTTATTATAGACCTTAAACTCAGAATATATGCTCAAAAGCTTGGTCTACAGAATAGAAACCCTATCTGCTAACTTGGACAAGAACTAAAAAAAGAATTCTTTTTACTACTAACTGGCCCTAAGACAAAAAAGAAATTATAGTTGATAAAACAAAAAAAAATAAGCTTTCAGTTAAAAAAATCTTAAAGCTCTTAAAAAGGCTACTCTACTATCTATTTCTCTTTATTTTGTACTCCAAACTATACAACCTACTTGGCTTTCTTTAAAACCTATATGCAACAAGAAAAAAGATATTTTTTGGCAGTTTTTTCATAAAGCTTTTTCTTTAGGATATCATCTTAAACACATAGAGCCATCTGAAATAGACAGCTATATCTGATATCTAGAAGAGCTACAAACTCTTAAGCATTTTGCTCTCAAGTGTTCTAGAAGTATAATAATTTGAAAGAAGCCATATAAGTTTCTAAATTTTAATGAGAAAAAACCTATACTAACCAACTTGGAAAGTATTTTTCAGACTTTAAACATTAACTGTGCTCAAGTATTAACTACTATAATCTGGCTATATATCAATATAATTTATAAAATTTGGAATTGATATACTTTATTAAAATGAGAAGGCTCTGATACTTTTCTAAGCTTTCTTAGTATACTAATTAAAACTTGTATTTTGAAAGAAATATATGTTTTAAAACACAATACACTAGGTCATAAGTCTAAAACTACTAAACTAATCTGTAAATATCTAAAATGTATTTAGACTATTTATAATATTTTAATATAATAATACATTAATAAAGAGCATCATTTGTGCCCTTAGTTGCTAAAAGCAACAGAAATACTCAAAAAAAAAAAAAGTTAACAACTTATCTACTACTTTAAATTATTATGCCTCTAATTATATGCTTATTGTTATACAGTTATATATAATATATAATTATAAACACAATAAAGATTTTAGTTACTATTACTATTAGTTTTAATAATAATAATAATAAAATAAAAAAATATATTTTATATTTTGTAAAATTTTATTATATTATTTAAATTTTTATTATATTATTTAAAATTTTATTATACTTTTTAAAGTTTTATATATTTTTATATATATGAAAAAAAATCAATAAAAAAAATATATTTAATAATATAACTCTCTTAATTCATTTATAACAAAAATTTTTTAACTTTATTAAAATTTTCTATTGAAAAAGCCTATGAATCTATAGGCATTAGTTATAAAATACAGACATTACTTGTATTAAAGCTATTACAATTTTATTTAATTATTGCTTTAACTTAAGTCAAATTCTTAAATAGTAAAAAGATAATAAAATTTACTTTATTTTAAAATGTAATACATTTAATAGTAACTTAAACCTCACTTGTCTAATTAGTTTTATTAAATATATTTAAAAAGTCTATACAAAAATTATTACTACTAGAATTAGTACTGTGTCTTCTTAAGATTCTATTTTTTCACTATATAATTATATTATTTTACCTAACAACACATTTATATCAATTTATATATTTAATAACCTTATTGAAGATATATTATGCAACTATAAACTAATTTAGCTTTTATCTTAAAATATAAGCAAAACATATAACTCTGTTAATTTTACTTTTCTTTAAAAGTTCTTTCAATGTCTTGTTTTTTTCTACTTTATTACAAATACTATTATTAACATACTTATCAATTAACAAAATTAAGTTATCACAAATCTTAAACTTATTTTATTATATTTTGTACTCAATATTATCAACTAGAATAAAACTATAACTTTTTTTTTATAAAAAATTTACTATAATCTACTTATTTTATATATTTATAACAACTTTAAAGAATATAATATACAAGTTTTTTAGTTAACTAATCTTAAATACCAAACATACAACATGTTTAACTTATACTGTATAGTTCTTGTTTATATAGATGATACTTTTTGAATTGCATTCTTATAACAAGAATTATCACAAATTCTTTTCATAGCTGAATTATTTTTTAATATAACTAATATACAAATTAACTCTTCTAAATCTGTATTTATAACAAATAACAAACAAACTAACTATACTTCTATTATATATAATAATTATTTTCTTAATCTTTACTTATTAAACAAACTATTTAAATTTTTTAAATATTGGTTTATACTTAACAACAAAGAAACTAAACAAACTAAATTTATTATTGCAGAATTATTATATCTTATTAAAATTACAAGCACTAAGCAAATCACTAATATATATACAATATTATATTATCAATATTGTTATTATTTTTACAATCAAATATCAACTTTATAATATTGTTTTTAACCAAAATATATATAACAAAATTCTTATAAGTCATATAAAATTTGTAAAAAAACAAAGCTAAACTCAGTTGCACAATTTCTAATAGCATGTTACTTTACTTTTAGCTATACAATATATATAATATATAGGACATAACTACAATATCATATTACAAACTTTACCAAAAAGCTTAATTTCTTTGATCTTTTAGGAATAAGTACTCATATTAGACTTTAGCAACTTCACAATAACTTGTAATTATCTATTAGTATTTTGATACATAATAATCTTATTATAAACAGGCCTAACAAACATACTATTAACTTTAAAATTATTTAACTTTTTAAACATTTTAGTATAATGCTTGTATTTAATCTACTATACAATATTCTATATACTATTTAAGAAGAATTTATTTTATTTGAATTACTATTTTTATTATATCTAAAATACAGTTAAACTTCGATATAGTCACTAGTTTAGGAAACAAAATTTAAATAACTATAAAAAGATGTAACTATATTAAAAAACCTTGAAATAATCACTTTAATAGTAAATAAAAATATTTAGTGACTATATAAAAGTAATTAAAATTTTTTTTGAATATTAAACTTATATATATATAGTATATAAAATGTATTTTTTGATATATAATTTGTTTTTTTTTATTTTTTTAACTTTTTTTTTATACTATAAATTGTACAAACAATAAGGCTTTTACCTTAGTAATCTTTTAATAATATATTTTATTTATAGAATTAGATGTTATATGATAGAAGAGTGACTATAATTTACAACAATATTATATATAACAAATTTTAAATGTAAAAAAGTTTTTTGGCTTTTAAAAGCATAGTACTAACAGAACTTTAAGAAAATAATTACATGAATAACTACTTAAGACATGTACAAATATATAGTTTGTTTTTTGTAATAGTTGTAACTAAAGGTTAACACAATGTCATAATTAGTTATAATTATAATAAATTATATTGCATCAACATCTCAAACTATATTACAACAGTACTTTAATTTTCTTTTTATCATTTTAGTTAAATTCTCTTTTGTTTTAGATAGTATTAGTCCTAATTATTACAATTATCATATAATATAAATTTCTGATAATCAGTTTATAATAACAAATAGTAGCACAATTGAAATTTAGATGCTTATTCTTTCAAATTTTAATATTGCTTTTTTTTAAGCTTTATCTATATACAGTATATGTTTATTATATCAAATATAAGCACAGATAATGGAATTTTCTTTTTACAAAGTATATATTTATAATTCAAAAGAAACATAAATGTTAACTTAAGTTAATTAAATAATATATTAATTACATGCTAAAGGTTGTGATAATTTTAACTACAAAAAATCATAACAGCTAAGTATCAAGTAAAAGCAATAAATTTAATTAATATGCTTTATACTAAAAATTTAAAATTTATTTATTTATTTATATTTTAGAAATACAAATTTTGAGAATAAAAAAAATATAAATCTAAAGAATATGAATCTTGTGGGTATAATTCTTGAGAATTTGATTTTTGAGAATCTGATTTTTGCAAATCTGATTTTTGTAAATCTGATTCTTTAGAATAGAAGTTTTGAAAATATAAGTCTTAGAAATAGGAGTTTTAAGAACATGAATCTGAGAATAGGAGTCTTTGAAAGATGAGTCTTGGGAATATGAATTTTGAAGATAAAGGTCTTAGAAATATAAATCTTAAAAGTATAAATTTTGAAATATGTATTCTAAGAAAATGAATTATAGAAATATAAATCTTAAAAATTAAAAAATATATAATTTTTTTTTGTTTTTTAAACTTTTTATATATACTTCTATATGCTTTAAGCAGATTGCTTAAAAATTTTAGTTCTTTAAAGAAGAGATTTGATTCTGAATTTTTATGTTTTTTATAATAAATAATAGTTTGCATTGCATTAAAGTACTGTAATAGAATTTACTTATTTTTTTATATTAGTATATATTTATTTTTAGCTCTATATTATATTTTATATTTTTCTTAATATTTTTACATAGTTTA